GCAGTTTCCAAATTCATTGAAATCCAGGTGGGATGGGGCTTGGAGCAACCAGGTCTAGTGGAAGGTATCCCTGTCCATGGCAGGAGGGTTGGAACGAGATGGTTTTTAAGGTCCCTTCCAACCCAAACCATTCCACGATTTCAAGAGTCATCTTGGACACAGCAAAGCATTTCACAAGTACAAAAAAAAAAGACTTTAAACCTCTTTTAAGGGAAACTATACAAAAATAGAGGCTTGAAACCATTCAGGAACCTCAAAAGCTCCAAATATAGCTTTTTACCATCCAAAAAATTCCCATTTATCGTCCAAAAAATATCTGCCAGTCTAGAAGTGATCAGACCCACCAACATGCATCAAGACATCGTTTCTGCCATTATCTACTGGACCAAAAAATTGCCATTATGCCTGTCCTTTGAAGGAAGGGTTCACAAGAAGAGGAGTTTGAAAAGTATAAACAGCTTGCATTGCATTTTAGCCCACAACATTTCACAGGGAAATCATAAAAAAAATACTTACACTGACACCACAAGTGTGACATGGGCTGTAAATGCATGATCCTGGTACCATGATATTGTGGTTTGGAGCTGGCTCCCTGTCAAGTCTCCAAACACCACAGCAAAAGCTTCCCCCTCAAAAAAAAAAAAAAAAAAAAAAAAACAAGGGAAAAGAGAAAATAAACCAAGAGAACCGAAATAAGAGAGCTAAAACAATATATAAATATATTTACACTTATATTACATTTATATACAATTACAAAGACTATCTACACATAAGAAAGAAACACCCAGCACCCCCAAAGGAAAAGGAAAAGGGACAAAACAGCATTTCCTCGAGAATATCCACCTTAGGAACTGTGTCCTTCTCACATAAAAATACTGCAAGGACTGTCCAAAGGAGACTAAAATGGACAGGCAATTTCCAAACAGATACTGCAGCCATTCCAAAAGATAGAATATAGCATATATACCAAGCATGCATAGCAAATCAAGGCTTATCACCTGTTTTGGGGTATTTTGCACAAATTAAGGCATGGCATATAAGTGATGTACATCTTTGCATAGGCCTTTTGCTTAACACAGAGGTGTGCATGCTTGGGAAAGGCAGTGTGTGCTGTGTCTGCCAATAACCATCAGTGCACAGACAGCTCAGGGCCCACACAAGCTGCTCACAACAGCAAAACCTGCACCAGAGAGGAGCCATGAGAAGAGAAGGATGAACTAGGCAGGCCCACAGGTTTGGTAAGAAAGCTACAAGGTTGCATTTAGCACTCCGGGAATCTTGTAGAAGTTTAGCTCTTTGTGCCCAGCACCCACTTCCCAGGGACAGTGGGATTAACCAAAATCTCCACTTCAATCTCAAATGCTCTTTTAGCTCCCATTAATGTCTAATTTGCATTTTCAGGCTGAACATGTGTCTATATAACATATACATTATGCAAATATACCACACCTACCCACATTTCAATGAAAAGAATTGAATGCAACCAATTCCATCAGTCAGGCAAATGAGATAAAATAACATCAACGCTGGACCATGTGCCTGGCAAGAGTCTCATGCTTTTGAAGCAAACCTAGGTAACTGGGCACACAAACCAAACACATGTTATTTATGGGTCACCTGAAAATAGTTTCTGGATTGGACAGTAGCTTTAAATTCACTATATCTCCCACATTAATTTGTGTTGATTTCACCTGCATAAACTCAAGGGGCAGAAAATAAATATTTTTCTGCTGCTTACTCTGGTTCACTTATCTGCAGCACACAAATATTTAAACCAGCTACAACAATAAACAGCCAAAGGCCACTTCTTAGCAGAACAGTTTGCATTAGCATTTGCTGCCAAGGAAGGAATTCAGGCACAAGCCTACAGATCAGCAGCATCCTTAATTTCCAACGTTTGTAAGAGAAGAGGAAAGTTTTCTCACATATCTTTCACGGGAAGTGACTTGGATCATCGGCTCTCACACTGAAATGTGACCCCACTGATAGCACAGGCAGTTTTGAGACACACATCCCTCTCTGGAGTGGAGACTGGAGGAGATTGTATCAAAATGGAGGAGATCAAAAGGGCTCTCCCAGCCCATCCTCCTGAACTGATTAACAGAGAGCCAGGGGGATACCAGTCTTTTATTCTAACACCAACTCCATGGGAAGGCAATTTAATGTTATTTGTTAATTTTGCACGTTAACAGATATGTTAACAGATATTTTGCTGCCTCTCAACAGATCTCTTACCCCTCTACAGCTTTAGAAGAGAACCTTCAAAGTGATTTTTCCTGATCAATTATTCAAGATACAGAAAAAATTTTCCATAACATGGATGATCAAGAGAGTACATTCTTTAAATGTTCTACTTAACTTTAAGGCCTCAGAGCACAGGATCAGTTGAGCATCAGCTTCCAGCCATGCTGCAATGCTATGTCATCCTGGCACTTACACATCCTTTTTACATCATTCTAAGATAACATTTGGGTGCAATTACTAGAGTTTGAAACATCCATGCTACCAGTTGCATACAGTTCCTTCCCTGAGTCAATAAAAGAATTACACAGGAGGTTGAGGTTAAGTCTTAAATCAGTGCATCACAAGAGCTATCTCAGCAAATACAAGAGGGAGAAAATAGTATGGCAGGATCCTGGCTTGTTCAAGCCTTTGGGATGGATTTCATTAAACTCTCTCCTTACAGTGAGCTGCCCACCATGATTTCTTCTGAATTAAAAAACAGCTTAGTTTTTTTTAAACATCAAAACCACAAAGCAATCAGCAAAGAAAAACCACAAAGAAAAGCACAAGGTGTATATGCAACCCTTGACCACTGCAAGCCTGTAGCTGGACTGTGCTTCCATCCTTGGGTTCAGTTGGGTAAGTGGCTATCAGAGCAGCTCAGTGTCTTCTCAGTCTCTTCATGCCAGCTCATGGTGGTGACTGCTGTTCATCCAATCCTGCTACTTCTCAAACTTCCTCAAACACACACAGGAATGGGACCCAGTTAGGAACATAAAGAAACAAAACGGGAGGAAGAGCAAATGCTGCCAGTCACCGAGAGCATGAATGCTCCAGAACAATTGAAAGCTCTTTACTAACCTGCACCAGAGCTTGGAAATAAAACACAAAACCTCCAGCACTCATCTGCTCTACTTCCCCGGGTGCTATCTGCAGTTCCACTGGAGAGCCTGTTTGTACACTGAAAGTGTGATGTTTGGGGGTAGTCATGACTCCTTGCTCAAGAATAACATGGTCATAGAAATAACTATAACCCAGACAGTGTTTCACAGCTCAGAATAAAAAGCAGATGCCAATTGGACCGAGGTATCTGCAGCAATTTCACTGCTATTCACTAATGGCCATGAAGGGATCAGACAGGAAAGACACCCCAGCACTAAGGACCAGAGAGCTACTGCCATAAGTACAGGGAGGAGAGCATGTAGGAGGGGGGACGCTGGTCCAGAACAGAACTCAGTTACACAGAAGCTGCTCTGTTAAAATCTGTAACACGAGAGGGCCTGGACTAGAGTGTCACACGCCTGGCTCAGGCCTCGAACTCTCAGACAGCTGGCAGGCACACAGTGTGCCTCAGAAACACCAACTCCTGGGTTTTCCAAGGTTTCTGTTGACACCATGAAACTTGAGTTTTCAACACTGGTACACAGCACTGAAAAGTTTCTTTACATGAGTCTTATCCTTCTGAGCACACACACTTACCCTTCTTCACAGCTAATGCAGGGAGTGTCACCACTGAAAGAACAGTTTAACTTCTCCTTTTCAGCCAAGCTGCTGGACAGCTCTTTTTGGCAGTGTTTACAGGAAAGTTCAGTCTGCTTCAGAGGAATTAGCCCTACAACCAAAATCAAAAAGAGCTTTCAGTCTTCCTGCCCTCACTTCTCTCCTGTAGCCATGCCTAGAAACTAAACTATCCTTGTACTTTCTACTGCTGCATCAGTTTTCCCCACAGCCTGCACAGTTATTTCTGTACCACTTCTGTGCAGGTTAGGCTCAGACAACACTTACAAACCTTTCACTGAGTAAGAACTGTACATTTCATAGATACAGATAGACATTATATATATATGTATGTATGTATTATCTGTATTCCAAGATATTCTGAAGACCTTTGAAGACTCTCTAACTAAAACAGTAACTGTTTGGATTTATAAATTATATCATTTTATCTGTCTAAGAAAAGGGCAGATGAAGATTGAACTGACAGGACAAGTGTGGGGAGAGGGCTGTGGTGAAACAACTCCCGTTAATTCACTCTGGACTTACCTGATTTTCAAATCTATGAAGATATACAGACTTATAACTGTGTCAAATGTCTCAAAATATCAGCAAGTTAAACAAAGCAAAAAATGAGGCTACAAGTTTGGCAGACTGTAAAACTTTCATGAGTTTTTGCAGAGTTTTCTTCTCAAAAAATATAATTTTGTCAAGTGGAAATACTTTGAGAAAACAGCTTGGTAGATGGCTTTTTCCTTGACCATAAATAATAAAAATGAGGCATCCATGAGACACTTAGCCCTAACCCTAGCTGCAATTCTCACAAAGTCCCTGGTGAAATCCTACTGTCCTCTGCCAACGTAGAGCACCTCTCTAGATCCTGGCTTTAACATGCAATTTTATTGGAAAGGACTCTAGGCCAAAACAGAAACTGTGTGCTACGTTTGTTTTAGCCTTTTACTCCCTCTATCTATTTAAAATAAGATAAATGAAAAGCTGAAAAGCCATGCACTACTTTCTCCTGTCAAGGATACTAGGACCAAACAACTTCAGGAAACAAAAACTGTGGTGACCCAAGACCTGTCCTGGCTCCTCCAGCAGCACCAATGCTCCCCAGCACTGCTGTTACAACCCACCCCAGAAGTGGAGAGTAACCCAGGTTCTTGTTAATAAATCCCTTGGGGTGGATCAGAGTGAAATGACACTGAATAATTGGTGTTTGTAAATATGTATCTGTATGTTTTATTTTAGAACAATTTGGATTCAAAGGAAAATAGGTGTATAGCCGTTTTGGTTGTTATCATCTATAGTAATACAGCAATATTAAAGCATAAAAATAACACTTAAGGAAATGTATAAGGAAAAGAAAGAAAGGATAAAAGTGGGAAGATATACATAGTCACCACCTGCTGGATCCAGTGATGAAAACTGGTAATTGTGGCTTCAATGTCTGCAGATTGAAGATGGTGGTTGGAGTCCTGTCGAAGTGATGGTCTTGATCCGTTGGGGGTGGGGGAAGCCCCCTCAAAATTCAAAGATTTTCATGACTTATATACACTCAGGCTAAGGTGGGAACGCCTCGTACCTCCCCTGCGGTGGGGAGTTTTAATGTCTTTGATACTTCCTGGAGGGGTTTTCACAGCAGACTCATCATGTAAGGGAGGACATGTACATGATAAGAAGGATTACCCCACCTCATGGATCTGCCTCTTCCCTTATCTGGAAATCCAGTTTGTAGATTCAGGTATGCACCTGGAAGAGTTGGACAATAGTACTCCCCTTTTGTTATCTCAAGGTCCTTTTCCAGACCAAATTAGGAGGCATATTCCTGGAAGGATGTGCATGAGCAGTTGTTTCTTTGCAGTTTGGTACAGTGGACAAAATTCTCTTGGTGATCTTAACAATGTTGAAGCTACTAAACATTTCAGTCTCTGACACACACCATCTCCGGTGCGGAAACCTTTTGGAAACCCTGGAACAGCAAAGAGCAGCAAGAAAGTGCACTCACAGCTTACCCATGTTTTCCCAATAAGAGCAGCTCTTTCAAGACAAGCCAGTACAGATGCACAGTTAACACACACAATGTAAGATACAAATTGGACCTTTGAATTAGACCCTTGAATTAGAATATTTCTTTGTCAGTGAAAACTACTAAAAACTACAGACTTTAGAGTAAACCTATTATCATTACATTCTTAATACACAAAGTAATACCATGGTACTTCAGACATCGTATAAATTACTCCAGAAGAAACCATTTTTTATTCAACTTGACCAACAACAACAGGATCTTCACTAGCATTCCTCTTCCTCCAGCACTAGGCAATGACGTAAATTTACTCAGCTCCTGCAAAACCAGGGCAAGGCAAATGCTGAGAGCTGGGAATCACAAATGTCTGCACCAAGCCCCAACCCCAGCTTTAGCCTTAATTTTGCAAACCACTGTATTCAATACAATCATTGATACAATTATTAAAATAATGCATAATATAAATTATGGAGATGCATATGTTATGCTTTGAGTTTGGAAAATGCTCTGTAGTTTTGCAGGGCAGCACAGGAAAAACAAGTAATGGGAAGGAAACAGCTTTATAACCCTCTTAAGTTTGGTTTGGCTGCAATCAGGAAAACATAAACCAGCACATTAAGGATTAGCCCAGGAAGAATATCAATTCAGACACAATAGCTGTTTGCACTGCCAAAATGTTCCAATTCTTTTAAATGAAGTGTAACAGCAGTAATTGTGTTTCTCTGAGTGAGCTAAGAGGCAAACGGTGCATGAATCAATAACGATGTGACTTGTTCACCATTTATCTCTTTGCATGGACCACAGGAAATCCAATTGCATTATGACATTATTCACAGCCTGTCGAGGGCACAGAATAATTGGCTATCGTTAGCAGGTGTGTACCCATCTTCAAAGGGCAGACACCCACCAAGGAGGATCTGGTGGGCCATCACCCAAAGCTTCCACTAATAATGGGGTCACACACCCTGAAATTACCAGTGCTGCACAAGGGGACTTAATTTTTGCTGTCAGAGGACCAATTGCAATAAATATCTTCAACATTTAGACATTTTTTGGAAGCTTCAAAGTCTTTCAGCTGCTACATTGAGTGCTACTGATATGTCTGCTGACTCCAGAAATCAGACTGCAAGGAATGAATTAGGACATTCAGACACAGGTACTTTAACACAGTTATAAACCCCCTACTCAGATACCTCAGGAAGCTGCAGGTATAGAAGAAAGTTTGCAAACCTAAGTGCTAAAACCACCGCTTATACGAATAGCCTCTAGTGGATGAAATGTGCTGGTGCTCAATAAGCATGTGGTTTTAGTGATTTATCTTCTGTCATAGCTGAAGCACACATTTGCAGTGTTGAACAATTTCTGCTACAACATTTCCAAATTCCCATTTAGGCCACTGGGAATGGGACAGCAGTGTCACCTCTGGTGACAAGGCCAGGACGGCAATGCACATATTTAAAAATGCACATATTTAAAAATCCATATTTAAAAATGCACATATTTTTAAATCCTCAATTATATCCCAGAGAGATGGGAACCCAGGAAAGGCCACTGGTCCTGACCAAGCACACAGCTCCTTCCTCTGCTAGCTGGGCAATCTCCTCCTCTCCAATCTGATGCTGTAAAATATTCATCTCCTCCCCGTGTAATTTATCTTGCTCTGAAAAATTCCAATATGAAACCACAAAGACCAATCCTTCTGACCCACTTAATTTAATGGACTGCAAGTTTCTACATGTCCCTTATTGATCTGGAGAACACTAAACACTAGGAGATGTGTGGCTAAGGCACAAGGAGTTTGCAGCTGTATGGGGAGGAAGAGGTTGAAAACAGAAGTTTGACAAGGAGAAAAGTTGGTTTTAGAATTGTTTTCACTCAAAGACCAAACTTGCAGCTGGGAAATGTTGCTTCAGTGTGGGAATTTTCGTGGGAAGGGAGATAAGAAAGTTTAGCACTGCAAGAACAACCTAGAGAGCTATTTGTGCATGCGTCAGGCCTTTGATATATGAAGCAAAGCCCAGATCAGGCTGGTGTTTTTTGCCTCTGCTAAGTTTGCACTAATTTAGCAGTGTATGGATGTCCCTGAAACGATGGAACAAATCTACTCTTTACACTGCAGTGGTGGGTCGTGGTCGTCTTGGTGTTACCTGTGTATAATCAATTCTTGCAAGCTGCAATATAAAAGTTGATCTTCAGCTCAGAAAACATCTGTCTTCAGCTGGCTGCATTTAAAAGAAAAAAAAAATGAGAGAAAAAGATAACACACATAAATATAAATTATTTAAGAATAAAAATTATTCCGTGGTGCAGTTTTACAGTTTGTTTTCTGTACAAATTGCCTGCTTCTTTACATCTAAATCAAATAAAGCAGTTACTGCCGGCTGTATCTGAAACTCAGAGTTTTAGCCAGGAGGGACACTGAACACTCCACCAGGTTCCCCTACCTTTCCTACAAAGAACTCTTCTAAACCTGCAGTCAGACACTCAGAGGGCATCTGCAGTTCAAGCCTTTTTGCTGCACTGTTCTGCCTGCACTTCCCTCCCTATGTCAGAATTAAATAAAAAGTAAGCCCAAAGAATTCTTCACAAATTATTTCCTTTAGTCATCGTGGAGTAAGAGTATCCCTAAAGAAGCTGTTGTACCACAGATGAGTAAATGTCTTCCCAAGGCAAAAACAGATGAGTTACAGGTCTCCATTGTTTATGAAACAGGGAGAAATTTATTGCCTCATACATCCTCTTCTGCCATAGCATTATCAATTTAATAGTTGACTTGCTTAAAAGCAATACTGCAGTGTGCTGTGGCTAAAGGTAGTTACTTTTATCAACAGGATGGATTAGAGTCACATGATATAAAACCATGATAAGAACCCAACCTTATACTGTAAAAACAACTTAGTTTTATTACTAGCCCTGAAGGAAAAAATAGGAAATGGAAAAATTCAAATAAACACTAAAAAAACCCAGTAAGTCTTACTGGACAGATGAAGACTTGAAAAAATTCAGAAGCTGAAAACAGCAAATACTTTTTAAAGATATCAAGTTAATTTATATGGATTTTTAATACAGTCCTAGTTTTACCACAATCATCACTTGCAAGAGAAGAGTTGAACTGCTTTACTATTAGCATCTTGTAAATCAAAACAGACCCCAAAGTTTGGATCATGCACATGAGATGATGGAAGAAACCAGGAATTTCTCTTTGAGGTCATATCAAGAACCACATGTGAAAGATCAATTCCCACACAAAGACGCACTTCAAGATGACCTGCTCTTTAAAATAATGCAATTTGGCTAGCATTTATCTATTGATAACTATGTCTAGTCCCTGCTACTCCAGTATTCTTTACTTTGGGATAACTCAAGATAAACTCTGTTCTAAGGATGCCCAGGGAACTAGGGGCCACGAATAAGACAAATGTTTCTTTCTTTTTTTGGTTATAAAATAAAGTAGGAGACAAAAATATCAAATAGAGGTATTTTACATTACTGATACTAAATTGGTTTTATTTTTAAAAGAAACAACCCAAAACGAAACCATAAGCCTTTTTGCCACAGGTTCTACCAAGTCTTCCATGCAGCTTTATTCTTATAACAAATTCCACCTTCATTGCTAGCACAGTATAGTGTTCAAAAAAAGTGATCCACATCAAGAAGACCAAAAGTAGACATAAGGTCAAATCCTGACTAAATTCTTTATAAAAAGAGTATTTTAGAGAATTATTCAATTTTTCTCTGTAGAAGTACACACACACTGTATCTCAGTACGTGGGAACACAGACCAGCATAATAAAGTCTACAAAAAGGAATTTCACTAGCTACAAAAAAAGAGTGACATATAATACAATACTTGTCTGTGGACACGTTCATCCTTCTCAGCATAATTTGAAATGCTGTTTTCCCAAAAGCACTGAACTGAAATGAAACCACAAAATTCCTCTTATCTGGCCCCAGAGTGAGTCTGCTGGTTAGATCAACTTTACAAAACTGCAACTCCCAAAGAGTCCTCCCACATTGCCTGAAGCGAGGAGGGTGCTCAGGGCTCCTTCATTCCCTCATTAACAGACGAGAAACACTGTCTCACAATCAGGTCTTCAAAAATAAAAGCAACAAAAACATCCTGAAGAAATGGATACCAAAAAACAATTGTCACTTCAAAGGAAGACGACCAGGAAGGCCAAACTGCAGTCTCCCAAGGAAGATAGAGTGAAAGCACATCACTGTGTGCCTAAATTTTGACTGAGCTGTGTTTGTAGCACGTTCTGTTTCACCACAACAAGCACAACCATGATCATTCTTGCTACACTTTCAGTAGTATTTAAAATAATATTTTGACAGATGGCCATTACAAAAGCTGTAGTTCAATCACAGACTTCTAAAACACTGCACGATCAAAGGTTTGCTAGGTTTATTCATGCCAGCACAGCTCCACTAATGAATTTCAGCCGCAGATTCAACTTTGGCCCAAGGATACTAATTTATAAGGCCTATAAGGCTTAGAGAAGTTCAAAATTTAAACAGAATTAATCCATATACGCAGAGTACCTGTCATGTATCAGATGCACTGATGTGTATAACATCTAATGGTAACCCATCATCTCGGCACAAAGCCAAGTGAAATCAAGGAAATAAGATTCTCTCCAAACCTCAGGGGTGTGAAGTGACTATAAATAGGCTGCTCTACTTCTCACTCTTGAGGATGAGACATTTAATGGGTACAGAGAGCTATTGGTGTGAAAGCACTTGGGGACCACTCTGCAAAGAAGTAAATCAGCAGTAACACCAACCTCCTACAGAACATATGGACAGGAGGGCTCTTTCCACTCTCTTGTTTGTGACAAGGAACATTCTTCTGAGAAAGGTGTGGGGTTGAGGGGGCACATTCTTTATTTTTATCCCATGGGGTATGGGAGACCACCTCAGTTTTTAGTCTTATGTATATGCAGTAACTTACTTCTTTTAACAATTTGAAGCCCAAGACATCTGTGATACAGAGCAAGGCATATATGCAAAGACAAGATTCATGAGATTAAAGGAAGTACTTTTGTGAGAAAGCTGAAATGGATTTTGTAGGTGAGTGACTCCTCTGCTCTCCTAATTTTGGGTATTTCTCAACTCCTTTTAGACTCAAAAACAAATACACAGAAAAACTCAGTCCCCTCAAAAGTGAGAGATTCTCCTCGCACCAAAGAATGTGGCAGCTGGTCAGCAGGAACTCAACGGTTCCCATAATCCTTGAAGTCTGCAAGTTCCCAGTTATTCCTGGCCACCATCAGAGGCAGACTTCTGGTCTGAGCCACTACAATCACACTTATTTTTGTATTCCAAGGAAAGGATATTGACATATGTAGGACTTGACCTCGAGTACACAAAAGACAGTATCGCTCAGGGCAAAAAACCAGTGCTGCTGTAACTCGCTCAGCTGCGTGCACATGTTGCAGATTCTGTACTGTGCCAATCCCCTTGTGCTGTGAATTGTTACAGCCCATGGCTACGGAGTGTAGGCTCTGCAGTGCAAGCTCCAAGGGCAGCATGTCATTTTTCAGGTTATCAAAACCCCAGCTCAGCTAACAGGTAATTTATATGTGTGTTTAAACACAACGAGGCTCAGTTGCTCAGGGCTAGAGACCTGTGAGAAAGATAACATTTTAAATTATTTAAGGTAATGCAGAGGAAGGCTTAGAAGCCCCTGACTGGAGGAGTTACAAACAGCCATGTCCAACCTGATTTCAGACACGCTATGTAAGGCTAAAATGAAACACAATAAACAGAACACAGCAGAAGGATAAGCTACAAACACGAGCAGTCCCACAGAGAGACTCACAAAGGAGGATTTTTACCAGCAGAGGTTAGCAAAAGCAAGAGATAGTTGTCCAACAGAGATGTAAGATAAACATGTTCTGAGGTAGTAATCAGTGCATAGGAAGAAAAGAAGGGGTATGGAGTGGGAAGTCGACACACCGCATGACTTTTCCTTAATATATTAGAAGATCCTCAAAAACATACATCAAATTTTATTTCATCAGGGAATTCCACAGCATAATTCCTCCCATTGCTGGTAATTTCAGCTCTACTCTACTAGGATAAACGATACTGCAAGACACCTGAGAATTAGCAGCTCCTCTTTTAAAACAGCTTATGCAAACCCATATGGACAGCTGACAATGCACGGAGATCAGACATCAGACTCTGTCTGCACTGACACAATGGACTATTGCTTGTTTGGGTTTTTGCAAAATCTCTCTACCTGGAGATAAAACCTGAGAAAAATCTATTCCATTTGTAGTTATGTTCAATGAATTTTAGCAAGAAAAATTGCACTTTGTACATATAATGCTCAGTTACTCAAGTACAAATTTGGTTAACCAGGTAAATAAAGGAAAAAATATCCTGATAAAAGAGAAAATAGGGGAAGGAGAACATAAATATGACGTCTTGCCTTTTCAAAACCTCTGTACACATTTTCATCTATTATGAATTTAGCTGCAAGTTTTCCATGTGAAACCAGTGCTCATCACCTGAACTGGATTTACCCCCTTTGGCTAACAAAAAGGGTTGGCTTCATCACATACAGTCACTGGGAAAACTGGCAGCAGGAAAAGCTCCTCATTACCCACATTAGTGGAAGTAACAGAAAACAGAGTGACAGACCCTGAAGTCAATTACTTAACGGAATGTAGCAAAGCACAAAAGCACTCTTCAGTGGAAAGAATTCCAGCATTACACCACATAATGGCATTTTGTGCTGAAGAGGGTATTGCAGTCTGTTTTCATTATGGGAACATTTGATAGGTATTTACGGGATTTGAAAAACTCAGAAGAGCTCCTTGAAAAATAAGATAGTGTTGTGGTCCTCAGTGTTACAATCAAATGCTGAAACTCAAGTAACAAAAAAAAGCATATTCTGTCAGAACTACCAGATCAAACTATTAATCTACCATTTTTTAATGTATTATAAATATCTGGAAAATTAATGCTAAAAAGAAATATTTTTAACAACAGAGGACAATTTGCCCAAAATAAAGTGAAAAGCCTAACACAGAAAAGATATTTATCTATTTGGGGAGATAATCAATGCTTTTTACATTTTAATTCTTCTCTTTATCACTACATCTTCCTTTTTCTTTTGTTCCCCCTGCAGCAAATTTGTATGCTGAGCACAGCTGTTCAAGCTGCACAGACTCAGGTATTACTGGTTCCAGGAAATAATGTACAATTCTACATGTATAACAAAATTACCTCCAACCTTTCCCAAGCAGGTATTTGCATGCTTGATGGTTGCAATTCCAAGCTGCCACGGCCCTCTCAAACTTGCCTTTGTCATACCTACATTTAGGTTCAGCTTCTGTCCATCCCCCTGAGTTGAGACATGAGTTGAATTCCTATCTTTATACATTCAGTTAATCCAAGAGCTCTCATCCTAAACCCTGGCAGCATTCATACCTTGTGCAGCTGATTTAGGACTAACTTTGTGTTACAGTAATTGGGCACTGCACCAAATGTGGGTCAAAGTAGCTTTTATACATGACCACGAATACCCTCTGGAATTCTGATTTATTTCTCAGTAATTCAATTGGTTATATGTACACCCATATGTATATGGATGACAACACATCCACATTGGTTTTAATTGTATATCTCTTAAGTTGTGTCCAACCTCAGTTAATACTTACAGTAACTATGTTTAAAAAAGATAACTCAAGTGGACTGCAGAAGGAGCTTTTTATCATATTTTTATTCTCACTTTCTTTTCTTAAGGCCAAATCGTATCCAACTGAATTAATTTACATTATCACCTTATAAGGGAAGTTCTGGCATAATGCAATTCTACTTTTAGTGAATTATCTTCCAAAAATCCACTGTCATGCTGCTTTAGCTTCTGTCATTCAAAAGTTCATTTGCTCTAGGATGTTCTGGATGCAGTTTAGAGGATTTTGAGATGAAGGATCCAAGTTCTGTACAAGAGAAATCCATGAGGGTTACAAAACATGGAAGAGTTTCTTCACACTTGGAAAAAATTTACTCAGGGGTCAGAAAGTAAAAAGTGGTTGGATGTGTGAGGAAGAGGAGAGGAAGCAGGGAGACAGGAGGGAGAGCATTTTAAGGGTTTTTCTTAGGCTTTTCCTGAGGTGCCCACTTCTAGTCGCTGTTAGAGAAAGGATCTGAGCCTGGACTTGGTCTGGTCCTGCTCAGTTGTCCCACACTGTGTTACCTATCACAGAGGTACCACATGTTTGGGAAAGTGAGATGGAATCCATTTCCCATAACATTAAGATAATTATTAATTAAGACTTAGCTGCAGCTCTTACTTGAGATTTCACACAGGAGGAAAAAAAAAAAACAAAACAAAACCAAAACAAATAATAAAAAAAAAAATCTACAAACTAGGAAATTAAAGTTCAATCACAATTTCAGGGAACTAAATAGATTTACCTTGCCTAAGGGGGCTTGGTTACAGACTTTTTACAGAAAGTAGCATTGCATCAAGATAGGTTGTGTTGATGTACATACCATATACAGGTGCACACTGGAATGGCAAGTGCAAGCAGCAGTGTCACTCAGATGTGAAGTACAAAGCTGTGTTATTGCCCAGTTGTCCATCATGACCTTTCTGAGAGATCACTGCTACTGAACCAGAGGTTAAACTTTTGACTGATGTTACATGAAAAAGCACTTTGTCACCTTCAGCACTGTTAGACCCATTGGTAGGTGACATCAGCCTCCTGGAGGGCCTGTATGGCTGAGATGTGCAAGCCTTGCTACGGAAGGGTGGCAGGCAGCTTCACAAAAAGGGCCTATTCCACATGCACAGCACTGGGACAGTGAAAGGCAAGCACAGTGCCCCTCCAGACCACCCTTATTCTACTGACTCATGTACTTAACATTCATTTTTTATCTTTTCCTCCTGACTGCCTGTGAAAAGAACAGGATTATATTATTATATTAGTGACAAGAAGTATGACATTTCTCTTTTGATTCTGAACACCGCTGAAAAGTAAATGTCCCCAAAATCCCTATGCATCAGCCTTACCACAACTCCACTGAAGGCTGAACCAAACTGAATACTCACCCAGGAAGTATTTGTAATGCAAGAGTTTTACAGGACAGCAGTGGGAGGCCCAAAAGCTCCTCACATGTCAGAAGAGGCCAAGGAAGGAGATTCTGAAAGCTCAAGTTGTAACAAAGCAGTTGAAAGCTACTGAAAGCTGTGCCTAGCTAAGCCTCTCTTTTGCTTCAAGAAGCTGACAGTATAAAATGTTTAAAAATAATAGTGATTTTTTTAAAACCAACAAATAATGCAATGTTTAAAAACAGTAGTAATACAGAAAGGTCAAATTCTAGCATGGGCCATAAGACGTATGCCCAGAGAATAAAGTAAGAAATCTAATGGTACACTAGGGTGGGCATGAATGTCTGCCAAAACCACACCCATAATCCTGTGATTACAGAGCATGTGAGGGTACAGAAGGCAGCAGGAAAGATGCACACCTATCTTGGTGTATAAACCTCTGTCACACAATCACAGAATATGACTTGGAAGGGACCCACAAGGATCATCAAGTCCAAATCCTGGCTCTGCACAGGACCATCCCCAAGAGTCACCCCCTGTGCCCCAGAGGATCATCCAAACCCTCCTGGAGCTCTGGCAGCCTTGGGGCTGTGCCCACTGCCCTGGGGAGCCTGGTCAGTGCCAACCACCCTCTGGGGGAAGAACCTTTTCCTGAGATCCAACCTGCGCCTGCCCTGACACAGCTCCAGCCATTCCCTGGGTGCTGTCCCTGGTCCCCCCAGAGCAGAGCTCAGTCCCTGCCCCTCCTCTGCCCCTGCCCAGGCAGTTGGAACTGCAGTGAGGTCTCCCCTCAGTCTCCTCTTCTCCAGCTGAACACACCAAGTGCCCTCAGTGTCCTCACACAGCTTCCCCCCAAGACCCTAACTCCTAGGGAGAACCTTGAAGAAACCAAGATTAACTCATCTGAGGCACAGGTAGTTCCCTGTCTGCCTCACATAACCCCCATTACTCCTCAAAAACCACCTCCTGGCTCTGCAACCGCAAATTCAAACATTGGTTTGTTTTGTTTGGTTTTAATAATGGGGTAAGAGCACTTACCCAGGAGCTGCTTACATTTTGTTTGCTCTTTTCCTTTCCTTCATGTGCATCAACACGAAAGATAAACACAATCCTTTAGGCAGTATTTGGGAAAAAGCACATTAGGAGGGTAAAATATTGGTACTGTGGCCCTTCCTTTGTCAAACTGCCTAAATCAACAGTTGGAAACAGAATATTGCTGATACATTGCACTTAGCTCCAGACTTCTGAAGAGCAAAATAAAAATAAACAAGCTAGAAGAAAAGTCAGCTTCTCAAAGTTACTGCAGTCAGAAATACAAGTTTTGGTAAATGGTTACAAGCTGCTCATTCCCCAGTTTTGTAAACTTGACAAGGAACATATTAGGCCATCCCATCAAGAAAGAGCTGAGGGAGGGGGGGAGAGGGGGAAAAAAGGAAAACCCAAGAAGGGCAAGAACCATCACTGAGAAATAAATTTAGCTGAAACTTCTTTCTAAAACATCCTAGAAGGGAATTTTAAAATTTAAGATCCAAAATTTCTAAACTCAGAAGTTGGCTAAATATTTACTTTCAGAAAATTCTTATCAAATACATATTTTATATATGCCCAAAAACACCACGTTACGTAAAACGCATATCAGTTGTCACACAGAGACATTCAGATTATCAGATCTACTTTTAAATAATATTTAGTTTTCTCCTACCTGTAGTAAATGGAAGTAAATTCACTGCTCTTTCCTATGACCAATCATTTACTTACACGTGAAAAAGAAGAGCTGACCACGATCACCATTAACTAATCCTGCATGTATAAACAAGTTCCTGTCCTACCTGCTGCTGCACAGAGGGTTGTTACACTCTGTGTGACCTTTCAGCTTGTGTCCCAGTGGCTCTAGAACAACTGACATTCAATGAATGCGATAAAATCTTTCACCTTCCACATATAGCTAAAATTATATTAGGGAGTGTTGTAGCAGGAGTGCAGCTGAGCCAAGGCTGACGTGCAATTGTGAAACTAAACTCAGCAGCAGAAATTTCCAACATGTCTAAGGATTGTTGGAAGAAAACCCACTAAAGGATAAAAACATCTTTAACAAATTATGAAGACCTTGAAGTTGGGCCAAAGAATATTGTTTAGCAGCAATATGCTCTGTGGGGCTGCTCATTGATCACAATTGCCCTGCCTCTGAAAACAGGAGAATTATGGCCTGCACTGTTACTTTGCAGTTGTGCAGAGAACGATTATGTTTTTTTAAAGTGTTGAAAGGACACACCACTTCCCTCAGATCTGCATCCTGACATTTGTCGAGAATTATATAACAATTCAGCCCAATAACTGAAGATTGACAGGTGAGTAAATTCCAAACAGAATACTTCAGAAGAATCTGAAATATTGCACTATTCCCAAAATGCAAAGCTGGTAGCTCCAGAAAGGTTTGAGAATAAAGATCAGTAAAAGTATTTGTAAGCTGGCAGAAAAAAACCCCCACAGATTCCTAAAATAAAATCAGGTCGTTTTATTCCATGTCAGACTTCAAGGACTTTTTTTAAAAGAATTGTTCCTATATTGACAGGAACTACATAACCTGAATTGAAATTAAGAAGCCCCTAGACCTCTGTTATTTGTCATATTACCATTTTTTCAGACACAAACTTCCTGGAAAGAGCAACATTTTCATGTATTAGATGCCGGCATTTCCAAAGCTCATTTCTTCTGGCTCCTCTGTCTTTATGAGCTGTTTACAAGCAAAGACAGTGATTGCAAACTCAAAACATGAACCTATATTCATCTTGTGATTCATGCTTTTTCTTCTTTAATCAGATTTCAAGGTGAATAAAGAGTTACAGGATTTAACTACACAAGGTGCTTCATTAGTAACTTCTCCAAGGATAACACAGAGGTTTTACTCAGTGCAGAAAGTCAACAATAAACTTCCAACACTGGGACAGTTTTAATTGCTGCTTTATGCAGTTTATGCCAGGTCCTTATCAAACAAAACCAGAAGCAATCAGGCCAAATAAAATAAAATTACACAATTTAAAAGATTTATTCTTTTTCAGAGAGCTTCGAGGAAGCCTTGGGCTTTCAAGGAGCTTGTTTGGCATTATTGGCATATTTTTTGCATGAAGGTGGGATGGTTCCAAGAGACTCGTCTGTGCAGAAATCATTTCAAAAGCCATTTGTTCCAGATTTGACTCAAAGGGAATTTTTAATAAGCAACTTGACTGTTTAATAACCAGAAAAACAAAGAACAACATTCAAACCTACAATTGCCTGTTTACTTTGCGTTCCCTTGATTTCTCAGTGGCATTTGGTCACCATGAAAAGAAGAAAAGAAAAAGAATTAAGCAAGCTTTAAATCTTAGGCCATTGCCTGCTTCTCAAAATCCACAGCAGCTCTAGTTAGATCAGTGACACGCATATAAACAAGATTAATACCGGATGTTTTCAGATAGATTTAATACTGTACTTGAGTGGATAGAGAGTTTCATTTGCATAATATTTTCTTTTTTAGCCCTAGAGCAACAAATGCAACTACAAAAAATGTAGTGATTGGAATGAAAATGCATTTGAACCTTTTGCCATTTAATCAAAGATAATAAAGGTATAATTACAATTTTAGAGGTTTTGTGACAATCAAAGTACGTCACATTTTTAGCTACAGAACTTCCAAAGAAAACAGTCATTAAAATGCACTAGAAGGTCACACACCCCTCTTCCTCCTATTTAGGAATCTGAAAACAAGAAATCAAGGATGTCATACTGAAGAAAAATTTTATTGTGTTTTTTTAATATCCTAGTTGCAGGGATGGGAGGCAGAGTTTAGCACTATGTAGATGTGATCAAAGTGTGTATTCTACACCATCTACTTCATGCCTGCTCTAGGGCTGGAGGGCTAGGTAACATTTTGCCTTTGTTGGTTTTGTGGGTAAACCATTTTTCTCTGTATTGTTCTGTTATTTGCGAGTTTTTTTCTACCTCAGTAAAATTTTGACTCTAACATCTTTAACCTCTCAGTCTTGTTTTCTTTGTTTTCCCCTCCTCTGTCAGAAGGGGGCAGCTCAAGCAGTCTCAACTTTTTCCCGCTGAGATTTTAAAACCAGCACAATTAAACCTAAGAAACACCTGAAATTTTATTTGGCCTTAATACATGTATGCAATTCTATTATTTATTCACAATTACTTGGTGGTTTCTGAAAGGCCTATTTAGATTCAGATTTCTGTGCTTTAGCTTTGGGGCGGGTTTTTTAAATTATTTTATGTATTTTTAAACCTTGTGCATTATGTAACAAGTTTAACAGTCTCTGCCATCCAACCACTACAAGTTATTTTAACTAGCAGTTTAATTATTGTACATTGCAATAATATTTTGGAAATTTAGTAAAATCTTTAGTTGCCACACTTTACTTGGCATCGGCATAAATTTAAGACAGAAGATGCTACTTTCCAAGAAGTAGAATAATGTAGGAAAAACACTAAATGACAAAACTGAAGCATATTAACCTCCTATCTCCTTAACATTCTTGCTTCTCTTAAAATGGCCCTAGCTTCTGCATCTACTTTTCAAGAAGCCAAAGGGGAAGGAAGTCATGAAAACCAGCAGGCTCTGTGTCCTCTTCCTCCTGTTTCAAGGTCCCAGCCTTGCCTGGCTATCACTTCCAACACCATTAACTCTTTTCTGCCTGTTACATACCAGGCATGGACACCATCTCTGTCCCCCTGCCACCTCCTACTAACCACAATTTAATATTGAGCACCCATCCTTCCTAACATCCTAAATAAAACTCTTTTGACATTACACAATGGAAAGCTCAGAAAAAGAGACATATGATGTGGTTTCATCTTCCAAAAATTAATAAACTCTTTATCAATATACCTGTTTACTGATGTTAAAAGAAGTTCAATCCCTAATAATCTGAACCTCAGATTAATCCTTTCAATTACATTCATTAACTCAGACTCTTGATTCTGTCTTCTCACTAGGTTAGCAAGAACATCAACTTCTGGACTTTAAGACCTAATAAATCTAATTGTAGCAATTCATATTACTGCTTCAGCTTTCCTTTTTGCTCACTTTTAAACTTAAAATTTCCAGATTTATAACATTCCTGAAATTCTGCCAGTAGCAGCAGGACTTGTACAAGCAGGTCTTTGAGGTTTAGTCTGTCACCTCCCAGCACCTTCGCCCACAAGTCTTTTTGGCTTCCTCTTATCTCACATTATTTCCAAGTTCCACCTGCTCACATAACATCTGCCCTTGGGGGCTCCTAAACTGCAGGTGATTTTCAACAACAGGCAGTTCAAGTGAAGCGAAGTTAAACTTTTTTGTTGCCCTCACCTCAAAAGCTACCAGTAGCCAAGACAATAGTCAGGGCTCCAACCTAGGTTTAAAAATGTTGCCCTCCATCATCAAAAGAACCCGATTGCTGGAAAACCCTGTTTATGCTGGATTTTGAATGTTTGAAATGTCATGACCAGCAACAACAACAAAATGACATAAACAATTCTTGCAGTTTCATCTGTCTTAAGGCTGAGCTAAGGAATCATCAGCATTTTCTACTTACCATGTGATCCAGAATATCATTCACATATTCCCTCTCCCAGAAACTGGAAACAATAAATCTACTCTGACTAGAAATAAGGTAAGAAATACTTGAAAGGGAATAGGATTCTTCTGATGTGCTGGAAGAGTTTAAAGCTATAAAAAGCTCCCAGTATGGTCTGGAGTCTCTCCACAAGGCAAGTGTCAGGGGACTTCCCTGAAGGGCAACGGGCTGGGAAAAGGAGGAAATAAAGCTCCTCCTGCAAGCACTCGTGTTTCCAGCAGAAGGACAGCAAAATTACAAGCTTAAAGCTGACACTGCCCTACTTGTGTCACTGCAAACTCAGTCACTTCGCCATTATCAGGAGGCCACTTATGGAAGAGGCTTAAATGGAGGGAAAATATCCACAAGATACAGCAAAGGCCAAGTCTGCTGAAGAGGTGAAGTTACTTATTTCTTTAGCAGGCTGAGTAACACTTACTGGAGTTGCCCAAGTAAGCGATTCCTGAGAAAAGCTGTTGAAGTCCCAACACTTATTTTTTCTGTCCCAGTTGTTTCAAATGCTGCAAAAAAGGACAATATATTCTCATTTTTCTTATAAGCTTGTTGGCCTAAGTACACACCAGTGTCCTACATCTTTAATTTGCACAATTCTTCAAGAAGAGGTGGAGTGAGACACAGGGAGAAGACAGCTGGGAGACACCACAAGAAGGAAGAGCATCTGGAAGTAAGAACAAGAAAGAATCAATTAGAGGAAAAAAAGAAAGAAAATTGAAAGACTAGTGTAAACTCAGACCTTCATCTATCCAATCCCACTGCAGTACTATTCACAGCACAACTGAATTATGTGTTACTTAAGATTTACAGACCTTTTCTGCAAGAACAACCATGGTTTTGAAGCATTTTTGAGAGTTGCCTTGAGAATTTATGACTCACTCAGAAGTTTAAATTCACAAGATGAAAGCTAGGGGACAGAAAAGGGACTTAACTCTGTGTCACAAGGCAGATCTGCTCTTCTGGAGGATAACTAACTCCTAATTTATAGTGCCACGTTCAGACATGCAGATAAGTCCTTACAGAAACAAACAGAATGTCTGGGCTGCCACATTTTTCATGACTGCAATGATGCCAAGAGCAATTCTTCTTCTCCGTGTCGTGAGCACCTCAGAATAAAGGAGCTTGCATAGAAATGTGTAAACAAATTTCACAAAAAATATAACAATTTATTTTAACCGAAAGCTGTGCTGTCTAAGAGCAGAAAGAGATTTAAGTGCTCTTTTACTACTAATTG